CCAAGGATTGATTGCTAAGCAGTATCACTTGTCAAAATATATGAGCAATGTTAATGTTACTCTGCATTCCATTTTTTTTGTCTGCAGTCTTAAACCCTTAAGTAATGCAATGAAATTGTAACATCTGAAGGAATATAGCAAGCTTTGTTGAACTGAATGAAAATGGCATAAACGGGGGGCATCTGTCATGTTTTTAAAACAGTAGTTACGGTGTTTTTCTCATTTTTCAAATTGGTTTCAGGTAGTTCTGCATTTTTCTGTCAAATCTTAGTTATATGTGAATTATAAAATACTGAGATGATAAAAATATTAGATGTTCGATTGTTTGCGACACCAGAAGACACTGGAAGAGTAACAAAATATTTACATGACAGGAATACAATACAGCATGTCAGTTCTTGGCAGCAAGACCTTATTTTAACCCGTGTTTTTGTTTGCTAGGTTACTGTAGGAAACTTTTCATAGGTGCTTTTTCTAAGACAAGCTTTGAGCCTTGGAAATTGAGATGTGGAAGCAGTGTCTACTCTGAGATGACGATGCGTAAATGTGTGTTTATCTTGAGACAAATAGCTATCCTAGTGATGGCTGACCAGTTCCAAGATTCTGTTTAAAAAATCTGTAATTTCATTGAATGCTGGATTTGTACATAGCATGAAAGTGGCTGTTTTCTTCCTATAGGGAGAGGTGGCAAGAAATTTTTCCACAAGGGCTAAATGTATCTTGTTTTCTGACCTTGATTCTATTTTATCTCTGTTTTTGGTAAGCTGGACAAAATCAAATACATTAATATTAAGTGTTTTATCACCAGGTTTAATACCAACTCAGTCTTTGTCCCCCAGTCCAAGTACACTTGTACTTCTTTGTGGACTTAAACACTGGCATAGTCTTCTTGAAACCAGTGGGGCTGTGAGTGAAAAAGTGCCTATGTTCTCTAATGCTCAGAGAAAGCAGTTTTACAATGCAATTAGAGCTTGTCCAGATATACTTCCATAGTTTACATGGTCGAATTTTAAGTGTTGTTTATATCTTTTGTTTTTTTCTTCGGAATTCCTTTTTCATTCCTGGAGTTCAGTCAGGAAAGAATACCTAACATGACTAATATCCTTTTTCTTGTAAATAAGCAAATTGTACAATTTGCTTTGTAAAATCACTGACAACAAAATATTGTCTCCTTTGGGCTCATCTCAGAAACCTAATCTTTCTTTTTGTTTTCATACTTGAAATCTTTGTTTATGACATGTACATCCACCACCACGAGTACTGCAATTTCTTCTCTGTTCTTTCTCTACTTTCCAGCCTAGCAAAAGGTTGCAGTGGAAATCATGTGTCTTTCCAACAGGTGGACCAGATTTCTTCCTCTTCAGTATTCCTATTCTGGCTTCCTTTAGCCTCAAGTTTAGCTGCAACTTCTCCTCAACGTTCATCCTGTCTCTGCACTTGCAGTTATCCCTTGTTCTTGTTTCTCTTCATTCTCCATTTCATACCACTTACTCTGCCTAGTCTTTTCATTCTACGGTTTCTCTGGGACCTTTTCTCCCTCCTCATTTTTGTGCGGCTTTAATGCTGCCCTTCAACATGCATCAGAACTTCCTGCTGTTATACAGTATAGAAAACAATGCTGTTTTCTTTCCATTTAAACTTTCACTTCTTTTGCAAAGCCCACTAATGTTAATTACCCATGTAATAAACCTAAATATTTTATATTTTTTTTTTTTAAAAGCACATGTGATTTTTGAAAATGGAAGACCTTTTGAGGTAGCCATCTGCCAGGTGTCACCTCTTGAAAAGTTGGTGCCTTTCTTGACACCTGCAGGCTGTCATTCATACTTGAGCAGCTGACCTCACATTTTTGGCACACAGACTCCCAGAGAAGGGGAGAAAGCACAGTGCCCTGCTGCAGGTGGGTACATGCTGCCCACAGACTTGCACAGTCAAAAGATCCAGCTGAAAGGCACAATCCCCAGCTATGGTGTAGCGTTGCAGATCCTCCCTTGTCAAACAGCCCCACGTGCTTCCCTGCTTACATGGACTAGTGCATGTTAGGAGAGAAGAAATTGGAGACGTTAGCCATACAGACAGTACCTCTGTTCCCAGTTAGTCTGATGTAAATATGAAGTCAACGGCTTGCAGCGATCAAGAGTCTATCCTGTACCTTGACATTCTCTGTCAGGGACTATAGAATCATAGAATAGTTTGGGTTGGAAGGGACCTTTGAACGTCATCTAGTCCAACTGCCCTGCCATGGGCAGGGACATCTTCAACTAGATCAGGTTGCTCAGAGCCCCGTCCAACATGACCTTGAATATTTCCAGGGATGGAGCATCTCTGGGCAACCTGTGCTAGTGTTTCACCACCCTCAGCGTAAAAAAAATTTCTTCCTTATATCTAGTCTACATCTACCCTCTTTTAGTTTAAAACCATTCCCTCTTGTCCTATCTCAACAGGCCCTACTAAAAAGTCTGTCCCCATCTTTCTTATAAGCTCCCTTTAAGTACTGAAAGGCCACAATAATGTCTCCCCAGAGCCTTCTCTTCTCCAGGCTGAACAACCCCAACTCTCTCAGCCTGTCCTCATAGAAGAGGTGTTCCATCTCTCTGATCATTTTTGTGGCCCTCCTCTGGACCTGCTTCAACAGGTCCATGTCTTTCCTGTGCTGAGGACTCCAGAGCTGGACGCAGTACTCCAGGTGGGGTCTCACCAGAGCAGAGTAGAGGGGCAGAATCACCTCCCTGGACCTGCTGGCCACGCTTCTTTTGATGCAGCCCAGGATACGGTTGGCCTTCTGGGCTGCAAGCGCACATTGCTGGCTCATGTCCAGCTTTTCACCCACCAGTACCCCCAAGTGCTCCTTGGCAGGGCTGCTCTCAATCCCTTCATCCCCCAGCCTGTATTGATACTGGGGGTTGCCCCGACCCAGGAGCAGGACCCTGCACTTGGTCCTGTTGAATTCTCTCTCATTTCTTGCAGGATGGAGTATGCAGTCAAACCTGTCACATAAATGCTACCAAGTTCCACCATCCTAAATTTTCGCTATGGCAATTCAATAGATAAACACATATATTACAATCTGAAATAAGACAGATCCAAATACTTTTTCTCCACATTTTGTTCAAGCCAAAATCAGAAATGCTTCCTCTTCCATTCAGCTCTGTCTTCAGAAAAGCATCCTTTGTCCATTGCTCCCGTTCACCAGTGTTTACCGAGAGTCCTCCTGGTTTTAACCAGCATGGGTTGGTGGAAGTGTGATGTTATTAGACACTGCAGTCTGTCTGCCTGACAGTACCACCAGAGATGAACCTGTCAGGAACGTCTCTGCCAAAAAGTATTGCTCAAAGGGCTTTTTGTCAGATTATTTGACACTTGCTCATGAACTATGACTAACATTGCCTCTTAAACCACTCTGTATGTTTATTTTATAAGCCATATGGCCCAAACTGGCCTAGTGTTGTATAGGTGTGAAAGAAAGTCTGGATATATTTAATTACTTTGGACTTCTGAGCTTTACAGTAAAAAGTTTCCATGGCAATGTAATTACTGTATTGTGTTTTATAAAATTTATCCCTATTTCCCCTGGTTATTTCTAGATTTTTTTTTTCTTTTTCTTTTGAAAAATGATGTTTTCAGGAAAAAAAAACCCACCTAAATAATTAGTTCTGCAAAACTATGGTTGTGCATATTATACCTAAAACCAGATTTGAAATATGTGGCTGTTAGGAGCTGAGAGATTTCACCTAAGGGTTTTGCTAATGGGTCACGGGAAGCCTGTGAATATGTCTCTCTCTGCTCTTGTGGGAACTTTGCAGAATAGTTAATAGAATCTGAATTAGTAATCCTCACTAATGAGTTAGACCCTTTTCCCTTTGTAGTCCCTTTAACACTTTGTAGCTGTTAAAAGTGGAATGTATACAAAATAGTAGGTAAGAACCTTTCAGATGAATAAAAGATTTAAATATGGCTAGGCTATCAGTTTCCCCTTACAAGAGCTCTCACTCAGTGAAGTGATGACTGTGGTAAGCATGACACATGGTAAGCAAACGTAAATCCTCTCTGAGCACAGTTTCCTTAAATTATTACTTGATTTTATAAAAAATATTTTACTGTGGTTCTGCTGTAGGTTTCTCGAAGAAGTAGTAACCAAATTCCTAGGTGACTGTTCTTGGAAAAGTGATGCAGGAATTGTGCTCAGAGCATGATGCAGCCTGGGTGTTTAAAACACAATGCAGGTCTGCCTTTTGTGTGCCCTTAATCTGAAACCGGGTAATGCGTCAGTATACATTGACTTGTTATTCTGCGGTCTGATAAATAATTGTATGGACTTTTTCTTAGGGATGCATTTTCTTGGGCATTTTGTCTTACAATCAGTGATTAAAATATCATTAGATAATGTGCATAATCGTGATATAAACCATGCAGGGCTTGCAGTTTCTTTCTTCTGACATAAATATTTCATCTGTGAAAAAGATGCAATGTAATACAAAGAGATGACAAAACAAGAACATATCAAGGAATGTACACACAAGCATGCTTCTTAGCTCAATTTAAATGAATCCATGCATAAACCAGGAGAGTCTGAAGATGGCTGTGAGCTCTATCCTCATTTTTTACCTTACAACATACTGAAAAATTATCTGTGATGCTAAAAGGTGGTTATTTTTGGCAACCGATATCAATTTCCTATTCACACAGCAACTGGTGGCAACTAAAAATAATCCTGTTTTAGTACCAGCTAAGAATCTGGTCACATTTGGCACACAAACAACATGCACAAATAAAATTTAAGATCCCTTGCTCTGCTATTTCATCCGAGCCCCCTCATCAAGCCTCGTTTGCTGCCATTTGAAAGCTATTGAAAAGCCATTAACTGGCAGGACTGTGAGAGCCGCAGTGCAGCAGCACACCTCAGTGCTGGAAGAATGTGGCTGCAAGTGCACACCAATTAAATCTTTCTATTCCTGGGGATGTGGGATTAGGAGCGGTGTCAATCACTTGTGCTACAATAGCACGTGCAGTAGTCATGGTTCAAGACGCACAGAGGTTTATCATAACTCCAGCAGTCGGGTGAGGATGACTTGGAAGCCTCTGCAAGATCCTGGAACAGAAACTGCATTAAATAATGTATTCTGAGGTATACTGGATACCTGAGGAAGGGCTCTAAATAATGCATTTTCTGGGCACGACAGTTGTAGCAGAAGAGAATGCTGAAACCTGTAGCAAGACTACAGCCTGAGATGAAAGAATGTCTCATTACCATTTTATCAAATGCTGTAAGTAACAAAGTGGTTATTTTGATTTTAAAACTGCCTTTTTATTCTCTGAGGTGTGTCTTTTCAATGCATATGCAAAAAGTCGAAGATGCTGCATGATGTCAACGTGGTAGTCGGGAAGGGGAGTTGTTACTTTGCATGTGAATATGCAGGCAGGGCACAGTGTTTCTTTTTCTCCTCTGTTCAGAGGCAACTTCATTGTGTGTGTGATAAAGACCTCATTCTGAAGTTCATGCTGATCAGCTTTTAAAACTTTTTTTAAAATTAATTACCAAAGAAAATAATATCCAAAAAGAAGAAACGTCATTCATAGCGTTATGTTAAAGATGCCTATAAGGACAACCTCGGACGTGGCTCTTACTCTTCACAAGGGTAATATAAATGAGAATAGATTCATAATTAGGAGCACATCTCAGCATCTATTGTAGATCAAACAATGTATCCCCTCCTTACCAGAATATTTAGCTATTTGCTGTGACAGACTTAAAAAATAATAATGAACTTTTAACCTTGAATCCTGCAAACTGCCTCCTTAAAGACTGAAATTAGGATCTATGCTAAATGTATTGATTCAATGCAGAGCAAATTCCTAGCAGCTTTTTTTTTTTTTTTTTTTTGGTCTGCCTATCAAGGCTGCTCGTCTTCCTAGCTGCACATTTTTCGAGCTTTTTGGGTTTGCCTTTTAAAGCATCCAGGGTCTGAGTGGAAATAGCTGGTTTTGCATTAGATAAATGAATTATTGTTTAGATACTTGTTTTGGACAGCCACTAGTAGCTTGTTAGCCGTGGATATTTTTTACTGCAGGAGTTGGAAAACTTCAGACTTCTGGTGATTATGTCACTGTTTTTACATGACAAATAGCAGATTGCTGTAAAAGGTTTTCTCTCCGGATTGTGGTCTTTGATGACTTAAGTGTACCAAGGACATTTCTGAAACTGTTTTTAAAATACTGTGTTACAGTTAAGAAGCGAGTAATGTGGTTCTTTGATGTTTTCATATGAAATTAAGGTGCCCTGGAAGTATTTTAGTAATTCAGGGAAAAACGATTTATGAGGGTTTCCTCTTGTCTGGATTCAATGGGACTTGTGTATGGAACTGCTTTTAGTACTGGTGGGAGTTACAAGCCTAAATTCCCTGCTCATGCAGAGAAGCACAGATTAGTTTTACTGCATAATTTTAAAGGTGCATTCTAAGAATAAGTCTTTGAGCTTGTCATGAGATTTGATAAATGCAAATGAGGAATTTGCGGCATAATAACTATCTTGAAGATGTCAGAAAAGTATTGTTCGGTCTTTAGTCACTTTGGAATTACTTTCTTAAAGTGAAACTGTAGCGAATGTATATGGGGGTGTGTGTGTTCAATAGCATCCTAAATATGTAACTCTACAATGAAACTATACGTTCCTTAATTGGAAAGAGATGAGGATGGTGAGGTTCTCTCATTAAAAAGAAGCGAACGACGACTACTTGGGGTGTTCATTGCATTGGTTAGAGGGCAGGGATGAAGGACTAAAACGCAGCAGAGGGAAAGGTGAATATACAGCATTAGTTTTGGCAATATTATTTGTTTCCTCTTTTCTAACTTTGGAATTTTGTAATTAGTGCTTTCTCACTAAATCAGGGTATTTTACCACATAGCACTTTTCCTTCCAAAGGGTGTGCTTTCCAAGACAATGGGCGCTGGCTGGAGCCTGCCAGAAAGGCTTTTTACTGCCTGTGCTTCTCCATACAGAATTGGCAAAATGCTTCCATCTCCACCTGTAATTAATGAAGGAGAAACACTTCCCCTGTCATCCTCCCCTGGGCGTTACCATTTGACTTAACATGCCAATAGTGTTGCCGATGTTTGTGTTTGGCGGACAGCTGGGGTCAAATATGGGCCAGGGCTGCGTGCAGGGTGGTAGCACCAGCGATGTTCTGAGACCTGCTGAGAGCAGCTGAACCTCACAGGGGCTGGGATGCGACTCTTCACACCCCACTTTGTTTTTTAATCCATTTCACTGATGATTTCCATATCGGAAGGAAAAGACATTGAACCAGAGGAAGTGTGTTTGCAGAGCACTGTCTCTTGGTCTACTTTGGGGAGAGGGGAAGTATCTAAAAGATACAAATTAACAGCACTTTAAAGCTAGTATTTTATGAACTGTAGTGCTATATGCCTGGCTTTTGCATGTGTTTGCACTTTGTTTTTTTAATCTCTGCAGAGATTGAGTGTAGACATCTGAGCTGAGAAGGGCTATAGCTATTCTCCTACGGTGTTAGTACAATTTTACTAATATTCTTTCATTTTTTTTCAGTGCACTGCTCCCACTAGGGGGCTGTGAAAATGAGATATACTGTCACCATCTTGTCATAGGATGGTGACAGTAAAGATCCAACCTTGGGAGGTCTCCAGTCTACCCTCCTGCTCTAAGCAGGGGCAGCTGTGTGGTCAGACCAGATCGTCTGGGGCCATGCCCAGTGAGGTCTTTCATCCCGGTAATACTCTTGAATAAGGCCTGCTGCAGCCATCATGTTGTCTTCAGCTGGCACCTGCAGCATTTAAAACACAAGCTGTATGCGTGTCTGCCTGTTCGAGCAGCTCATGTTGTCACTACTAGTGCCCATCTCCTTTTTGCAGCCAAGTATTGTGGCTGCAGAGGGCTGTCCCTGTCTGTGCTAGTAGCTTCTCCTTGGCAATCAGCTAGCGTAAGCTATTTAGAAGAGAGAACAGCGGTACGTAGGAGAGTACCACATGTTATCTGCCAGCTGCTGGGTACCATTTTATCTCGATGATTTGTGTGACAGACTGTACAAATGAATGTGATTTTGCAAATTAGGCAGCACTGCAAATTAGGCAGCACCTTGCTGCTATCTTCTCTCCCTTGTATATCTAGTTATGACATAAATATCATCATTTACATGTTATGGCTGTGGTTTTCCACCTGTGCTCTGGACTTCCTCTGAGGGACCTGCAACGGGAACTAAGAAAAACAGTACTTTAGTCAGGAGGCTTAAATTCATTACTCGAGAGTCTGATTTCTGCTGCAAATGCTGTAGAGGTGCATAAATGCAAACAATTAAAACCTTGCTAAGGAGTTATAGTCATGCCAGCTGAAACTCGGAGCCAAGTGAATTCATCCAAATATTAGGATCATCAAATCTGAACATCAGAGCCTACTTCCATTCTTTCTGGATTATCTGTTTCCGATTCCTTTATCTCCTTTGTATGAATTATGAAACACTGAATTGTGCTTTGTTACAGACCAATGCTTACAGAGATCTGGGATGGAAATACTAATTAGATGTTTATTGGTGAATTTAATTCAGGATTTGAAACAAGAGATAAAAGATATATACTAATTCTCTCCAACATCTAGCCCTTCTTACCTTCAGCATCTGAATATATGGCAAGGATTGTCCATAAAGAAAATTAATTAGAGTAGAAGATGCACTGAAATATTTGGCCTTTAAATTTTGCTATACCCTCCTCAGATATCTTGTAGTCTGTACTGATTTACTCCTTCTTTTTGCTGCCTCCTACTCATAGTATTTAAAAAATCCATATCCTACAGGGGTCTTTCCTTACATTAAAAAAAATTCAGTCCTGACTTTAGTCTGCAATGCCAGAGACCTTAATCATATACTTTGTTTTGAAAGGCCGAAGCCGGCAGTAATGTACTTACAGATGTCATCTTGAGTATTTTTCACACTAGTTCACAGAGTATTTGATAACAAAATTACTGTCATATTTATGAATGAAAGAAGAGTAAATTCTGTGGATTATTGTTATGATTTCCATTTTATTTAATTTTACCCCACTTTTCCATAGCTTGCCATTTCAATGCATTTTCTGTTTCAATAAAATTATTAACCACTAGAACTCTCAACATTGTTGGATGAGCGTTTCAGCCGTGGTGGTGTCTGTCCCTTTTCACCATGGTTATGGGACAGACTGCATTGGCATGTTCCAGGATACTGCGGAGGAAAGAGGCATATCATCCCGAACTCTCATTTAGCACTTTAAATTCAGTCTGTGTGCTTTTCCCAAGGGATTCAGCCCTTCTCACATCTCCCAGAGTCTTCTGCGGCTCCAGACATGCCACAGCGATAGCTCTACCTGAACCTTATGCAGCTTGGAAAAGGGTGGGGGAAGATGTGATATGATACATTGGTTTTAGTTTACAGAGGATAGGGACTAGAACTTGATTCTCCCATGGATGAAGAGGCAATGCTGTGGGTGAAACACGATACCTTCGTGTCAGCTTTCTTACTGTGAGACAGCCTGTGAAAAGTTCATCTGTGTTTCGATAGAGTGAGTTGCTGTAGCTTAGACTACATAAGAAGACTAAGAGGAGCCTGAAAAGAAAAACTGGAGACCCCTAGTTGGTCTGCGATACAGGAACCCTTTGCCTCTATGGCAGCATGTGCAGGATGTGTGGTGACCCAAGTATCAATGACACATAGGTGCCCTGTCACACTGGACAGTTAGTGACGTGAGAGAACTAACAAAGTCTTCAAAGTGTTTTCTCCTTCCCATGAACAGGATTTCTTCTATTCCAGGGTTGGGCAGGAGGTGGTATTCATTTAGTCCATTTTATGGTGTCCCAGAGAATTCTCATGTCCTCTGCCACCGATGAGGAGCTCAAGGCACAAAAAAGTAAAAATTGTGCAGGTGGTAGGAAGGAGAGCTGTAAATAGAAGCAGGATGTCTGTACCACTCCTTATTCAACAGCCATCCCTTCAGTTTAGGTTGGTATTTCACGATGGTGTCAGCTAACTCTCGTGTCATGGTTTATTTCTGCAGTAAGAGAGCTAAGTACAACACGGCTGCAGGGAAAACTTCCTCTTCCTTGTACACGCTCATGACACTGTGACCTATGGCATGAGGTTAAGATTATTACTGAAATGAGATGCCCAGCATGACCGAGAGACCCTGCCTGCTGAAAGTGAGGCTGGGAGGAAGAGGCAGGAGTCATCTTCCCTGGGAGTCCAGAAAGAGCGAGAGGAGCAGCTGCCTG